TCCCCGTGGCAGATGGAGTTTGGGGGACCTGAGCAGGGCCTGGTGCCTCCCAAGGACAAGCGTCTCCTCCCACACCCCAAAACCCTGGGGAGAGACCCCCACCTACTGCTCCCTCATGGTGAGGAGGCAGCGGCAGCGCCAAAACCAGGTTGTCCCTGGCCGTAGCTCTTCCCGTGCCGCCAGGGAGTGCCAACACCTCCCTGGGTGAAGGCAGAGCGCGGGCAGGGATGGCGTCTGGCACATGGCTGGCCACAGCAGCATCTATGTGGGGACACTGGTGCCATCGCAGCTGCCCCTGCGCGATGGGGGACAGGACCTGGCACGCTCCCCGCTCTGCCCATCGTCCCTCAGGGACAATGGGACCTGCGCTGCCAGAAGGAAGGTGGGAGGCACGTGGTGAGGTTATGGTTGCTGCCTTGCCTGGAGACACTTGTGGGAGGTGACAGCATCAAGCCACCTTGATTTAAAGCCAGATGACAACACTTGGAAATGGATTAAAAACCACTTCTTTCCATGGCCACTGCTGGCCCGTGCAGCTCGTCGTTCCAGAGCGCCTCGGAGGCTTTGGCGTGACTGCGGGAGGGTTCAGATCCTCACCCCGGGCAGGGGGAGCTCCCCGTAACGTTGGGCAGAACAGGGTCGGCGGTCGCCTCACGTCCCCGGGGTGCATCTTGTGGGTGCAAGCCTGGTCTCACAAGGGTTTGCATGGTGGATATGTTCCACAGCAGTGCTGCTGTGCTCTGTGGGTGACCGGTTCCTATTAGAGGCAACAAACATCAGCGAGTCCAGGGAAGCTATTTTTAAGTAGAGGAAGCACTAGAATAGCATCCTGAGTTTTTTAAGCCTGTGACTTACTAAAGAGCCCAAGTCCTTCGATAGCGTCGAAAGTAATACGTGAGCTCTTGGGTCGCATTTTGGCGTCTGGCATTGTCTGGAGGTCCAGGTGCAACCCCGGAGGGTTGCTAGTGAGACCCATCAGACCCTCACCATGTGAGTGTGAGCACCTCTGGTCTCTGGAGGGTGTGAAGGGCTCAGCCAAGGACAGTACTGTGAGTTTTCAGGCCTGGAACCCACCTGGTTTCACAGCTGGATGGAGTTGGAAAAGGCAAGGCATGTGCAGGAGCTGGTGGGACAGTCAGTGAGGTACTCAGCCAAGCATCCCCCCCCACAGACCTCCCCTCTGGCTGCCTGCTGGGGGTCCCTGTGTTGGCAGGGACTTGTGTGTCCCAAACTGGTTTGTTTTGGCTGTTGTCACCTTGACCTGATTCCGTGTGGAGCCCCAGAACCCCCACCCTCCAGCCCCCTTTTCTCCCCGCTGTTTTCTATCAGCATCAGTCTCTTGGCACCGGTGCGGATAGTCCTGGCAACTGCCAGTTCCGCAAATGGGACAATTCCCAAAACACCTCCATTTTCACAGCTGGTCCCAGTTCTCCCCAGAGCCTGGACAGGGCTGTTTTCCTAGGAGAGTGAGTGCTCTCTTGGAGGTTTTTGCCATCCCAACTCACGTGTGTGCTGTGGACCCGCAAGAGTGGTGTTTGAGGTGTGCAGATGGGATGGATGCAGCCTCCTGCCGAGCTCCTTCACACGATGCCCTTGCTGCGGGAGGCGTGCGTGCCAGCCAGGCTTATCTTCTGCTCTCAGGGTCCACAGGTCATAGGGCTGACGTCCTACTTACTCATCATGTGTCCTTCTCCTCCAGGCCGTGCTGAAAGACCAGAGCCAAATGAGGCAGATGGAGCTGGAGATCAGACCTGTCTTCCTGGTCCCAGACACCAACGGTTTCATCGACCACCTCAGCAGCTTGATAACGCTGCTGAACTGCAGGAAGTTTATCCTGGTGGTGCCCCTGATCGGTGAGTAGGGCCAGTGCTATGGCGGGGGCTTCCCTTCTCCCCCAGCACGGGCTGTCCCTCCGTGCCGGCTCCCTCTCTCCGTGCCCAACATGCCCGCAGTGCCTGTGTGGTCTGGAGCCGGTTGACTCGTGCCGAGGGACTGGCCTCCATCCTGCCCTGTCTCATCCCAGCCACGGCCAGCATTCCTTCAGCCCGTGTCGCCTTTCTCCCTGCCAGCTTTCTGCCTGCGGTTCTCGGCAAACTCCTCTCCTCCTGGTGCATTTGGGGGTGCCGGGGGCTGGGAGAGGCAAGCAGGTGTTAAATGGGATTTGGAGGGAATTTTGGAGGGAGCAAGGAGGAGGAATTGTTAAACAATCAGAGCAGATCGCTTATCCCAGCTGAGCTGGGGCTTAGAGAGCCTGAGCAAATGGCCGGCCTGTGTCCCAGCGTCTCAGAGCTGCTCAAGCCCAGCCCTTCTTTTTATCCTTATAAAGCTCGCAGTAAAACAGCAAGCTGGTTCCCGTTATTGGTAAACACTCACCCTGGCAGATAACGGCTGTGCTGCTGGGTGGTCTCCCAGGGTGGCGGGAGGATTTGGTTAGATGCCTTTGCTCTGATTGTTTGATCGTGCTCTGGGCTGGAGGTAGCGTTCCTCCGGCCAGTGTTGCTCTGGCACCTGGCACGTCCCAGTGCCAACCTGGCATTTGGAGGATCCCTGAGGGCAGCAGGAGAGGCTGGGACAGGAGTGGGGCCGAGGCTCACAGAGCCCACAGGCTGCCCCCACCCAGCTGCAACCCCGGGAGGCCGGGGACCAGCTCTGCCCCGTGGCCATCTCCAGCATCCAGGCAGCGAGGTGTACGCTCATGCCGATCTCCCGGCCTGAGGCACACAGGGGTGCCTGCCCTCCAAGCCATTTTGGGGCTTTCTTCTCAACTCCTGGTGTCGAACAGACAAGTCTGCCCGCCCCAGAGCCAACGTCCAGCTGCTGCCCTTCCTTGGAGGGTGAACAGTCTGGCTCAGGAGGGATTCCTGGGGCTTGAGGATGGGACCCTGGGGGGGGGG